GTTCTTCCTCTTCTTTTATGTCAAACTCATACAAATTCATGATGTCGATGCCGCGTTCAAAGAAATCATGTCGCCATCGACAAAGCGCTTAGATAATAAAGATGACAAATTGGAAGCTGTGGTCGGTAGCTCGTCGTTTTCAATGTGTTCAGAACTTAAAAAAAGCGGATTTTCAAACCACGCTATTCTCCATGCATAACTAAATTTCTTTGAAATCAATGTTATTAGGGGAGGAAAAAAAACTATTTAATAATGGTGTGCATATGCATATATATAATTAGTTCTATACGCATAGGCGTAAGTATGTATTACGAATTTAACTACATAAAGATAAACTTTCAATCTAAAACACTTTCTCATACTTTTTACATAAATACATATGTATGTAACGATTAACAAATCATGTTAGTACCAAATATACATACATATTAGTATATGGATATATATATACATATATGTATATGTATGTATGGATACATGTAAATACATGTGTTCTGACATGTACAATTGTACATAGTTTTTGTCCAATACTTACGGCACTAAACATACGTATTGTTAAGACAATCAGTAGTAGTTATATTACATAATTACAAATGTACATTAGCGGCAAAATTATGTACGTGTAGAATGTACTTGCATTATCTTTTTGTATAGATACACATGAGTTGCCAGTTATTTGCATACATATTTTGTTCTATTGTAGAATACAATTGCAGGTAAAATAAATTAAGTTTGTGAGCGTTTGCCTGATTTTGTATCATGCCAGGTCTATATCCAGGGAATCAGGCGACAGTAGCATTGGGTCATTTGTTGCGGACGACACTAGCGAGAGAGAATCACTCATCATGGCATTGGAAAGGTCATCATGGCGTTGGTCCTCATCATGCAGATGATGGTGATGATGCTCCAGGCCATTCAAAGGATGGCTTGGTTCCACTTGTTGGTGGTGCGAGGAAGAAAGCAAAGGATCACGCCCGTGCTGCAAAGTTGATGGCGACTTAGGTAGACTGTTGATGTCATTATTACTCATTTGGCGATGCGAGTGTTGTAGATAGTGATTGCTATTGAACGAGCCATCGCAACTATGTTTTAACGCGTGTTGCGAGTGTTGTTGCAGTTGGGAGTGTTGATGGTGTTCCTGGCGGTGGTCATGATGATGATGATGCTGATGCTGATGTTGGTTGGTTTGATGGCAACTTGTCGTCAGGCAGCAGGCGCCGCTTCCCATACCTTTTCTTTTGCTACCACAACAATTATTTTTAATGTGCGCTGCAGTGCCAGCTGAAGAAGCGACAGCATTTTGATAGAGGTCATCTAGCGAATGCTGATTGTTGTGGCAGTTGTGATTGTGGCAGTCACTACCATTGTCGCCAACACAGTCATTGCCATCGAAACTATTACAACAATGCAATTGTGCTGCAGTTGGCGAGTGAGGCGCCGAGAAGAAGTGACTAATATTTGAGGAGAGTAGGGGATCGCCACCTTGTACTGGATGCTTACTGTCCTCCATGAGGTCATCAATAGGAGTAATACTGAGACTGGCTTCACTTGTAATAACTGATAACTAAGAAATAATAAGGAAGACATTTATATTTTGTATTAAAACCATGTTGACAACTCTGTTGGGACCCCTTTCATATACATATGTATGTATGTATGTACATACCTTTTCTACCATATCGGGTATTAAGGATGTTGAATGATGGCTATGCGATGATGGTGATGCTGGACTGGGGCTTTTGAGATATGAAACAGGCGGGGGAGCAGACACTGATGTTAAATTGAAATCGCTTAATGGTAACCCATGTGATTTGGCTTGCATTTCCAGCTCCTGTGAGGCAAAAACGTTATATATAATTTGCAAAAATTATTTTTATCGACCTTTCATGCCTACCTTTATTCTATTCAAAAGCTTTCGATTTTGTGACTCCATCTGACGTTGTCGCATTTCATTCTGTTTCAGTCGCGATACTTCGTGCTTCAGGCATTTGATATAATCAACGGAGGATTTAAGTATTGTGCCCTTATTTGGTCGAATGTCACGAACCACTTCGTAATATGGGTCATTTGTTTTTGGTAATAGGGTACCCAGCTCCTTAATACGATCGTTGATGTTGAAACGACGCCTTCGCTCGACTACAAATAGGTCAGGTGTTAATGTTCATGATTGTAAATAAATAATTGCAGAATTGTTTTCATTAGTTGGTATAATGTCGCTTGGCGCGCAATACCTCGTATCCGCCAATTGCAATGCCACGTATGGAGCAGTCCGAAAATTTCACAAAATACCAAAAAACTTAGTTTCATAAAAACTTCTGAACGGATTTCTAATCGAACTGAAGCTCATACTATAATTATTCACCATTAAATTTACGGAGTAGGCACTCATTGAAAAGGGGTAACCAAACCAATTTTTTATTCTGTGCCGCATCATACGTGGTATTGCACTTGGCGGATACGAGGTATTGCGAGACTAGCGACGATATATATATACATTCTTAGGCATACATACTTAGCAGATAGAAATGTACATATGTACATACATATTTATTTTACATACAATCACACTTACAAGAGCTCTGGCTGGCTTGGGGCGTAACGTGGAAAGTGAAAATTTCTATAACTAAAACTATTATCAAGCCTGAAAAGAAGATTTAGTACAATTGCAAGAAATCTGCTCCTCAACCGAAGTCCGAAACGCCTGAAAGATGCCAAATTTCGGACTTGGTTCAGGCTTTGCAGACATTTCAGCCGTCGTCTGACAGTTAACTTATTCCAGCAGGGCAATAGGGCAATTGATAGAACTTACCATACACTAAGAGAATTTTACAAAGAATTTAGACGCTAAAACTAAACTAAACTGAGTTTCGCCCGAAAAAATTTTCACTCGAAAATTTTTATTTCGCCCATAGTAGGTAAATACATGAAAACCAAACGTAAAAAGTGAACCGGTTCGGGAAAAATGAAACTCATGATAAGGCTGTGTATAAACATTAATATGAAAAGTGGGAACAAAAGTAATAAATCAACTAAAATTAAATGATAAAAGACGTATCACTTTTATCGAACTCGCATTTATTAGTCGATATCTCATTTGTCGGAAAACTCATCCCAACACTTTTGAGTATTTGCCAGCAAAATAAATTCTAAAATTTACCCCAAATTCGGTTTTGATTTTATAAAATAATTTTTTTTTTTAAATTTACAAAATGTAAGAAACGTCAAGCGCGGAAAGTTTGTTGGGGAGTTGCTAAAAAAAAAAAGCCTGATGGCCCAAGCTTTAGAGTAGGACTCCACAACAAGCTTTTTAGGCGTTGTGGCTTTCTGCGCCCAAGCCGTAATACATAAAAAAACATATACATGCATAGCCGGAGAGAGCGTTGAAAGCCTGATAGGCGTGTTGTGGAGTTCTACTCTTACTGGCAATTAAATAAAATTTACATGAGTAAAAATAATTGCGAAAACTATTTATTTACAATTTTTTAACCGATTTTCTGCTCATATTTGAAATTTGATATTTGTCTTCTATTAATTTTTCTTATTATTTTTATTATTATTTTTATTTTATTTTTTATTTTTTGAAATGAGCGCTTAAGTGAAAATCTCCATCTATAATTGCATTTATGTACTAACATCGCATTAATATTCTATGTATGTATGTACTAAGAACGCACATTTTTCATGCAGATATTTGATTTGATTTCACTTACTCATATTGTGATTGTCTTTCTTCTGCCGATCTTTGGCTAATGCATGCATTTCAGCATCAGTGTAGGATTGTGGTTCCTGTTTAATTCCTAAATCAGATGAGTAGTTATCAAACTTAAGATCCGCATCGAACAAACAGTCGTCTGCCTGTTAAAAAACGCACCAATACAAAAAATTTCATTAAATGCAATAAATACATAGTATGTATAATAAATATAGTTTTATGCTTATTAGGAAATCACAATATTTATTACGTATGCACATTGGGGTGGTCCAAAAATATATATAAAGTTTCTCTTCAGCGGACCTCCAATAATAATACCCAATTGTTCAGTTTACCATTTTTTAACACCCATTTTTTATGAGTTTCCCCATTGGTATTATTATTGGAAGCGGTGAAGAAAAACAGAAAATATTGATTTTACAGAATTCTATACCATTTCTACGATAAATTGTTTTTTATTCATATAAAACACCGACTTAACTTTTTTTGGACCACCCTAATGAACATAGATATGTATATATGTGCATAGTTGGATGGACCTTTCCTCTGGTTTTAAGATAAATACACAGTTGCGAGTAAAATAATGCTATGCTTAGAATTTTTGTTTTACATATATATCTATGGCACTTATTGCTGGATTTCGTGTTGGGTAGTCGGTCTGAAAATACGAATTCCAGAGCCAAAATTGATTGATATTGCGGATATCCGAATTTATTATATTGCGCATCATTTGATAATATCGGAAAAATCCTTTCTTTTTAGTCTTCTTGCATATCTCGGGCTAAGAAGATCTCTCGCTAGTTGATTTGGATGGTTCATTAGCCGTATTTTTTATGTACCCAGGTACTCCGCATATATCGCGTAAAATTTTTAAATGCTGTTTTAGTAGTCTGTTCAAAATGGAATTGCACGCTGTGCACCAAAGCCCGATTCCATATGCCCAACATGGTTTAGTCGTCATATTAGAAAGCAACATCTTGTTATCTAAATGCTCACAGTGAAAACTTTGAAACATTTTTTGAAGTTTAATTAGTTTTGAAAGTTTTATTTATTTGGTTTCTGTTATAGATCGAACTCTAAATCATTTTGAATTTTGCTGCTATTATTTTACTCGCAGCTAAACATACACTTTTATGTATGTGTTGATCGTGTGTGAATAGTGCCAAAAACATATTTCCATATAAATAAAAATTACCACCAAATTATTAGAAAGTCAACAAGGTAAATACTAAATATACATAACTACCAGCAATAGTATTACATACGTGCTAATAACTTTTTATTGTTGGAATTTAATACCACTTCAAACGCACTTTTAAGTGTGGAAATAACTACATACATTGTAGGAAAGGCCCTTAATACAGAACTGGCGCATTTCTAGTAAATTGAGACCAATAACTAGTTAGCATTAATTACACAGGTTTATAAAAAAAAAAGTTGATGCAAATTAAACCAAACCTATGTATCACTATGTTATTCGACGCCCTGAATGCGAATCCGAAGTCCGTTAAAGCATACACAGACGGCAGCGTTGATCCGGATCAACTCGGGAATTAACTGCAGTTGATCCGGATTAAGGCCAAGTTAATCGGGATCAACGCTGCCGTCTGTTTAAGCTTTTAGTCTCCACCACGTCAGGTTCGAGGTCGTTTGAAGGTCAAGTACTTAGATAAAAATTCATTGAATAAACCTGTAAATTCATATATTAGAGGTTTTCGACTCGCGGAACGGGAATCCGAGCTCCATTTTGGCCTTCATAATATCTGGTTCGAGGTCATTTAAGGGTCAAATATGACACAAAATTTATTCAATAAAAATAAAAAATTCATATACATGCGTTTTTCTTGCGATGAATCCAAGGGGATTCTTCAAGGTCATCTAGAGGTCGTGCCAAGGTCATTTCAAGTTAAAATTCGGAAGAATAGTATTGAATTGTCAGGTTTATTCAATGATTTTGTCGCGACTTGGCCTTCAAATGACCTCGTACCTGACGTGATGGAGGCTAACAGACCTCGAATTCGCATTCAGGGCATCGAATAACATAGGGATATAGAGGTTTGGTTCAAAATGCAGACACTTTTTTTGTCAAGAAGTAATATTTAATTTCCCATCGGCTCAGGCTTCGCGCGACACTGAGAAAAGAGTTTAGTTAAGTTAACTAAATATGTTTCAGTAACTATAACCAAATCACGCGTTGAGAGAAATATATCTATTAAGCTACATTTTTTCTGAGTGTACGTCACAGCCGAAATACATATGTACATATCTGTGTTCGTATGGAAAAGTAGCTTATGTCGAAAGCCTGGCTTTAGTATAAATCGGCATTCGAAGCATACAATTTCAAATGACTCACTGTCGCGGAGCCGTTGAACTACTTTTGGCAAATAAGCGCGCAATAAATAGTTCCGATACTAGCAAGCAAATATTCTGATTAAGTCTCATTCAAAAATCCCTTGTCGTTTAAAAAATAAAGGGAATGCCGCATTATACTAAAGCCAGCCTTTCGACATAAGCTACTTTTCTATACAAACACAGATGTGTACCCGTATATATGTACCTCTACTTAACTAAGCTTTTGAACCTGCGAAATTTTGAAGAAGTAATTTTTTGAATTTGTAGAAGCTGTATTAAAAAACGTTTTTCCTGCATGGTATGAATGTTTGTAAATGTGTACATACATATGTACATAAGCCTTTTGAAATTGAAATTAACAATAGCCACTTAGAATGGCGCGGTAAATGTTCATACGATAATCGGTTGCTTTGCATTTGCATATTATTTTCATCTATTATTTTTTTGTTTTTGTTTTTTTTTGTATGCATGTACATGCATTATACATACATACATACGTACGTATGCATCTTACACACCCACCGCTTAGCAAACAGACTACACAGGACAGGGATGGAATCAAATTTATTGTCAGAAAGCCATTCATATTCTTAGTTGTTTAACTCCACTGTTTTTAAAACAAAAATCTAGGCAAATACTATAATTTCGACTTTTCATTCATTAAAATTCCCAATAATTTCCGATGGAAAATAGAAAAAAAAACTACAATTGTAGTAAAATACCTTGACTCCATTTATATTTCCAACATTATACAACCTTATTAATGCTGCCTGTGAGCTTCAGTCTATCTAAAACTTATTCATTCGTGCGTTTCAATATCTCATACGGCAGAACCAACAATGAACAACCAGAAGTTAATAAATTGTACACACACTGAAAATTATTTACTATGACGTTGTCAGTAAATACATATTTAAGTACATATGTATGCACGTACATACCTACATACATATTTAAAAACATCAAAACGCGAGAGTAATGTCTGTGAAGCTTTAAGCCAGGTTTTTCCCTTTGAACAAAAGCATAAAAAGGCTAAAAAATGTGATAAATACAATATACATACTTGTAAACTTTAATCCCAGGGATAAAGCTGTCGTTAAACTTTAATTTGGTTCCTTATATTGGTCAAAGAGTGAAGACCACCCTGTTTCGGAATTAGGTTGGAAAAATGTTGAAATGGGGCGTTTTTGAAACGGCAACTGAGATAGGTCCTTCTCCCACTCAGCCGTCGATATAGAAAATGAATATCTCAGTTTTCCAAGGCTGGCGATTTTAATCGTTTTTGTCAACTTGACGTTGGTGGTCGCAGAGCAGTATTTAAAATAACACTGTTAGACAAATGCTAGGGGTCAGTGATCGGGAAGGGTTCAAACTACCGGGGAAAGTTATATCGGTAAAAAAGAAGTTATACGTGTCCCGGCGTTTCGCAGGGTCACGTCTAGGAATCGAGATATATCGATTTGAAGTTAGTAACTGTCACCTTTGGTGGTCTTTTTTTTGACCCCTGCAGTGAAATCCCAAACTAGTCAGGAAAAATACTAGTTTACAACTAGAATTCCCTGACTGAAATCGAACTAGTTCGAAAATGACCAGACTTGTACCAAGTACAAAACGATTTATTCAGGCCCTGTTTTATTTAACTTCGACAGTTTACTACAATAAAGTACACAAAATATTATAACTTTTATTTGGGTATATTGTAAACCATTAAATCGAATACGTATTCAGTTATACTAGTCCGGTTAAATAATGATTAATACTTATAATGATTATTAATTAAGGCATGTTTTTTTGGATAACCGTTTAATTCATTAGTTTTAATTACATCATTATTTTGTTATTATTGATCAGTTTCAATTATTTTTGACTTTTTAATTACACTATTAATATAATTATTTGATAAATTTCTAATATCAACAAGCCAAACTATAGACAAAAATTAAGAATATTTAATAACTGCTTGAATTACTTATTTATTTTATTCTTATCCAAATCTCAAATTTTAAACATTAATTACACTGGTCTACAAATTTCAACTTTTTTTCTGCGAATAAGACGGGACCTGGTGTTTCTGAACGGATTTTTCGTGCTGAACACGAATCCGGGGTCAAAAATGTCCCATCACGTCACGTTTTCGAGAAAAAAGGGGTTGAAACCCCTAAAAACAGCGTTTTTGGCCATTTTCGAAAAATTATAGAGCTGAACCCTGACGTGGTACAAATTTTGCATATATCAGAAATTAAAGGCTAAACCGTGCCCTTTCGAATGAGCCCTATGCCGAATTGATCGCGTGCACCCTTAAAGCAGGGGGTGTATTTGTGTTTAGGGGTGCATGAAAAATTGATCACAGAAAGAATTTAATCTTAAACGATCATAGAAAATTAATAATGCCAAGGTTTTAACTATATTAAAAGTCGCTGATTACGAATCTGCAGTTAGATTTTAAAAATTTAAGAAATTTATATGGTCGTTTAAGATGAAATTCTTTCTGCGATCAATTTTCCCTGGACTCCTAGACACAAATACACCCCCTGATCTAAGGGTGCATGCGATTAATTCGGCATAGGGCTCATTCGAAAGGGCACGATTTAGCCTTTAATTTCTGACATATACAAAGTTTGTAGCACGTCAGGGTTCAGCTCTACAATTTTTCGAAAATGTCCAAAAACGCTGTTTTTAGGGGTTTCAACCCCTTTTTTCTCGAAAACGTGACGTGATGGGAAGTTTTGGACCCCAGATTCGTGTTCAGCACGAAAAATCCGTTCGGAAACACCAGGTCCCGTCTTATTCG